GAATCATACGGTGTCGAATAATTTGGTGTCGAATCGTACGGTGTCGAATAATTTGGTGTCGAATCGTACGGTGTTGAATAATTTCGTGTCGAATCGTACGGTGTCAAATAATCTGGTGTCGAATCGTACGGTGTCGCTTAATTTGGTGTCGAATAAATCTGTGTCGAATCGAGCGGTGTCGAATCGTACTGTGGTCAATAGAGTATCACCCGAACAAAAGTAGTAAAACGTATAGATTTTGAAATCTTAGATAATAACTAATGAGCCAAATGTAGCCGATAAATTTAATTCATACTACATAAAATGTATTAATAATATAGTACAATCTGTAAATGTAGGTAGGTCCAGCGGTACAACTAAAACAATTATTTATGTTAACATACAAAGATGTTTTTTCGGGTTTGAACTGCGTTAGTGTCATTTTTATACCGACGTTTCGTAAACATTACAGCTCACTTCATCAGAGTTTGAAGAGCAGCCTGATACTGAGTATCATCTTTGTGTGTTAATACTACACACCCCGCGAAAGCATCAAATATCAAATTATTTATGTTATCGAGGACAAAAGAATTATGNAAAATTTCGAGATGATAGAGCTAGACGAGTTTGACAAAATTGTTATAGATTTACCAAAAAAGAAAGGTACAAGAGGATAACTAGTGATGTATTAAAAAAAGTTTTTTGCGTAATAAACGAGGAGTAGATATAATAAATTATTTTGTAGATATAATAAATAGTTCTTTGAGAGTTGGATGCTGTCCGGAAGGATGGAAAACTTCGATGATAGTGCCGATACCAAAAATACATAAAGCGAAAAAAGCAAGTGAATACAGATCTATTAATATATTACCAGTATTTAAGAAAGTGTTAGAATTAGTAGTAAAAGAACAGCTTGAAATGTATTTGGAAAGTAATGCTATTATTACAGAGCATCAGTCGGCGTTCAAAAAACAGTATTCGTGCGAAACAGCGATTCAAACTGTCATATACGAATGGAAACTAGTAGTAAGTGAGGAACAAATGGTGGGGGTAATTTTCATGGACCTTAAAAGAGCGTTCAAGACAATAGATAGAGAAAGATTGTAAGGAAGATGATTTTCTATTGGCTTCGCCCGGCCTTCCGCTTGCCGGACAGCTCGGTCGGCGCCAAGGTTCGGGAAAGGNGAAGGCAAGAAATTGCGACACTTGGTGTTTATGCTGTATTGTATGTTTGGTTTACTCCATTAAATATTTACAAGGAGTTTTAATTCGGTTTCGTCGGTCTATTCGACAAGCGTTATCTAATTTACGGCGGAGATTCGGTTGTAGACTATGAATCTTTATGCGCGGCTTTTATAAACGCGATCGGTAGATTTCGGCGCGGTGGGAACCGTGTCGGCGCGGTGATCACTTAATTCTAATTCTAATTCTACGGAGAGGAGTTATATACACGAGCCTTATATACAGTGTTAAGTGTTGAGTTGTAAGAACGACTGATTTAATGATGTGGCGGTTACAACGGCCGATTGTGCGCCGGGGCGCCGGAAGTCGAGGCTGTACCTCGACGGAAGCAGTCGGGGCGGCCCTGCCGAGTCAACACCTCGGGATGTCGGAAGTCGAGTCAACACCTCGACGGGAACGGTCGGAAGTCGGTATCTCGAGTCAACACCTCGAGACCGGAACGGTCGGTATCCCCGAGTCAACTCCTTGGAGAGCGGTAGCGGAATCAGAGTCTCGAGTCACCTCGAGCTCGGCTTCTAAGAGTGGCTCTCGAGTCAACACCTCGAGCGCCGGGAAAGTAATAGGTCCTGACTGCTGAAATCGGCCGGTTTTTATACCCCGGAGCGGCCTATAGTCCGTCCGGGGTCGGCGTGTGGAACGTGGGTGTTTGCGCGCTGCGGCACGCACTCGCGGGCTGACGTACGCGTGTACGCGCGGTGCCGNTATAAGCACGTCGCAGGTATTATAGCGTGGCGGGTTAACGCGTATGCGTGTGTTGTTTTCGTGGTCGATTATATAGTTCCGTGACTTAACCTATAGCAAGGTATGCGAAAGAAATATGATAACATTTATTATTTCTAATAACATAAAAGAATCTTTTAATACTCATAATTATAAAGAAATAATAATAGTACGAAAATAATAATAATACAAAGTAATATATAATATTGTTAATACATCTATGTAGTGTTCTTAACCCGAATAAACTCTCGGAAATTTTGGGAAAAAATCGGTTTTTTTCTGGTTTTTTTCCTTACTATCGTTTTCTAAGATATTTTTTTTTTAAGATGATTTTACTTAAATTGTCTTTTACGGTTTTATGAGATTACTTTTANATTTAAAATTTCTAATAAATAAGTTATGAATAATGTTTTCTGTTGTAATTATATTTACAAAATTTTTTTGGAATTTATNAAGAAATTTCTTTCTCTCTTTCTCTCTCTCTTTCTNTTTCTCTTTTTTAGTACAGGTACAGAATATTAATTAAAACATTAATTAATATGTAACATAAATGTATTGTTTTATAAATATCGCAAAACTGTGACTGTGTTATAAGAATATACACATATATATGTATGTATATATATGAAGAAAATTTATAAACTTAAAGTACTTTTTTTATAANAGTATACACAGATGTACTTTGTATGTAACAAAACTTATTAATATTTTGTACTTCAGTAATCATTATCACAGAATATACACAGCTATATTTTACGAATACTATTCAACATCAACTTGATCAGTTGTACATTCCGGTTCGGAATCTGAGAAGGAAGAGTAAGTGGTCTCTGTATCCGATTCTATTTTGTTATTTTCTGCATTAGATTCTGATTCTGTATCAGATTCTGAGTCAATGAAAATATCGTCATTTTCCATACTTGTACTCCCACTTGCATCTTCTGTAATACAGCACTTGCGCGTCTTTGGTGATTTGTCAAAAAACCGTAAATTCCATTGCACAGAAATCAGCTTTTCAGTTTTTTCATTTCTAAGACGATTTCGCTTCTTAGTATGGATTTCTCCAAATGCTGACCACACTCGCTCACATGCAGCTGAACTAGGTGGAATATTTAATAGGCGAACTGCTATCATAGCAATAGGCTCACCAGCACAGAGTCCCTGCCACCATGCAACTGGAGTTGTATATTCGGCAGCTCCAAAAATTCCAGTATAAGGAGACCAAATGCCAATTCCAGCTCGATAGTCAGCCAAATTAGCCAATATCTGTTCTTTGTTAAGTTTCAAATGTTTACAAAGNTTGTTGATTACTTTAAGTACTGATGGCATATCTGAATTGTTTAAATTTTTATCTTTATATCTAGGATCAAATAAATAAGTTGTTTTATGAACAGGCTTACAGGAAAAGTTTTCTCGATGCTTGATTGCACGTAGTATCTTAAGATTATTCATCTCACTAAGATTACTTTTATCAAGAGTTTGTGAAATCTGCTTCTTTATTTTCTCAAAGTAATGTGGCACATCAGAAAGAGTAGCAAAGTC